ATGTTAAGTCTATGGAGTTTCGCTAAAAGACTTCAGTAGCGTCATGGGGTGGGGGGAGGGGGGTCAATTTTTGACCAAAATTTTGCGTACGTACTTTGTGCACGCCGCCTAATGAAAAAGAGTTTGTCCATACTTTGCTCATTAAACACATAATTTTTTGATATAATATTGTCACGTGTTTGCCTTTAATCATCACTAAGTTAAGGAGACGGACTTCACGAACCGGACAGTGGAACAGACAGTCGAAGGGAAGGACTACATCCGGAGGACAATGACTCACAGAATCGAATCGATGGCAACATGTGGGACGAGAATCATTGGGACAGTGGACGTGTGGACGGCATGCAAAAGGCCCGTCACAGGAGTTAAAGAGCAACAAAAGTAGCGGAAGGGAAGCCGAGTAGGGGCTCACCCGTTACAATATTATTATTAAATTTTTAAAGCCCATTCGATGAGGAATGCGAATATGTATATATATATTACCCTATGACCTCTGATTCTGGTGAAATGGCAATTTTTATGGGGAAATATAAACTATAAATATGGCCGTGTGATATATCAATTTGATAAAGAATTCCACACAGAATATGAAAATATAAACAAAATTTTTCTAAACATTATTAATAATGTACATTTTGCCATTTAAGGGTAAACCAATTGAAACACAAGTAAAAAATTAAGAATAAAAGAGATTTAAAATCTATTTAATAAAATCATAATATAAATTGATATATGTTAAAAGTAATATAAAACTAAAATATCCCATGTTAAGTCTATGGAGTTTCGCTAAAAGACTTCAGTAGCGTCATGGGGTGGGGGCAAGGGTTGGTACAAAGTGATCTTATAACCTATATTTTTTACTCCGAAATGTTTGTAAAAATTAGTTTTAATATGATTTTGGTAAATATCAGTTTTTAGTTTGAATTTTCCTTTAAAATCATTTATGAATATTTAAAACCCCGTCGCCTACCCGGCCCTCCCTTCCCACGTTAACTTATAATTTCTGTTTCTAAATTTAATTGTTTCAAATGTTTTACGCTTAAACGACAAAATGTACATTTTTAATAATGTTTATTAAAAATTTTATTTATATTTTTACATTTATTGTAAAATTATCTACCAAATTGATATTTCACACGACCATAATAATAAAGTTTTTTCCCAATAAAATTGGTCATTGCCTCTGAAACAGAGGTCATTGGATGATATAAATAACATATTCGCACTCATCATTGAATGTTATTTAAAACCCAATTATATTATAAGAAAAACTTTATGGGTTTATTCAATTAAAGTACGGACAGTTTTTTTTATTAGGGTTCAACGTTTTACGTCACATGTCTATCAACACAAAACAGTAAAACTTTGATTATTAGTGAGTTAATGTGTGGGATAGTACTGTATGTACTTATCATAGCGACAAATTCATTGCCCACTTGTAGTACTGTATTGTGATAAATACTGTAGCTAGATACAAAACGTAAAATACCTGTAGTATACTTGATTGATAAATCATTGCGATTCATAAAAAATAAACTCTCGGATATTATAATTTAAGTTTAAGTAAAAGTTAGTTACATTAAAATTTTATTAAATCAATAGAGTGTATCCTTGAATTACAAAGTAATGTTTAATTTTATCATTAATATAAGGTGGATCATTTTAAGTTAAAATTCATGTAGTACTCGTACAATATTAGCTATTCTGTAGTGAATATATACTAGATTCACAAATCATAATAATGTTCACTAATATTCAGTCGTTATTTGTATTCAATTCGTGGGCTATCATATTACCCTGTATATTATACGCCGTTTACAGGTACTAAATTACTAATAATTAGTTAATTGACAATTAAATACATAAAATAATTATGTCATTAACAGATATTTTGCGCGAAACTTTGACTACTGGGCCAAACGTGGCATACGGGGCCCGAAACCTTACATTGGTTTCGGCAATACTTTGCATAAGTTTCTGAACCAAACCACTGATCTGGAGGTCCAATGGATTTACGAATTCGGCAAAATATACGGGTATTTCGGACACAAAGAAATCATTTCAACAAAATTTAACACAATTTTTATCATTAAAAGCATTTTTGAAGGCAATCGACCCATACTAACGGTGGCGGACCCGGAGCTCATCAAAAGCATTTTGGTGACAGACTTTCACCTGTTTAACGATAAGGAGGCGAACCCTCTGTTCCACTCGAAAGCCCACCCAATACTGGCCACGAATATTGAGGTAAAGGTGGGCGACGAGTGGCGCCGACAACGGGCGGTACTGTCGCCCACTTTCTCCGCCTCACGGATGCGTAAAATGTTTGTCCAAATCAAGGACTGCGTAAAAGATATGGTGCAGGCGTTGGACACCCGGATCACCACCACTACCCCGTCCAACACTGAGGTCGACATAATCAATGTTTTCGATAGACTGGCCGCTGATGTGATCACAACGTGTTTGTATAGCTTTAAACTGAATCCATGGGACGATACGAGTGATAGGAAAGCTTTTGTAGGACACGCTAACGACGTGTTCACACCGAGTCGACTGCGCCTATTACTGTCCATACTATTGCCGAAGTCGGTGCTCAACGCCCTGGGAGTGAAACACCCGGTGCGCGAGTCGGCCAATGAGTACTTCTTTTCGATGACCCGACATATAATCGCTGAGAGAAAACGAAATACAAACAGTATTTCAAACGATTTCATAGACTTAGCCCTCAATGCGGCCAATATTAACACTGAGACTGATAGTAAAGATGAGGATGACCAGGATATTAGTGCCACGAATGGCAAAAGTAATGGTAAGCAATGATTATAGATTATAATAATTTATCATTTTCAACCCTGATTAATTGTCACAATTTAAAATTATAATAGAATTAAAAATTAATACAGGTAGAAAGGAAAAACATAAATAAAATGTGTTTTAACTATCATAAAATAACACAGATTTCTACTTAAATGTTTGTCTACCAGTGCCTCGACATATATTTTCTGATATTTAGTTAATTTTCCCATATATTCTAATAGAATTTGAAAAATATGCTTGATTACAACTTATAACACTTTAGATATATTGACATAATTAATAAATTTTAAACTTTAGGCACGAATGGTGTTACCAATGGGGTCACCAATGGGGTCAACCGGAAAATCAGCAAAACAGGGGATAGTTATATGTCTGAGGACGAGGCACTGGCCAACAGTTGGCTATTCCTGAACAGTGGGTGCAAAGTGGTCGCCACAACCCTATCATTCATAGCCTACGAGTTAGCCCTACATCACAATCATCAACAAAAAGTATACGAAGAAGTGATGGCTGCCATCGGATCTGATGACAAAGACGTAGACTACGAGTCCCTCTCAAAGATGCCATTCCTCGAGGCCGTCATCAGCGAGTCATTACGACTGCACACCATTTCCATACGTATGAGACGTATGCCTCTCACAGACTATAAGTTAGGCGACACCGGTATTACACTTAAAAAGGGCGATACCATAGAGATCCCAATATATGCGATACACCACTACGAACAGTACTATAGGAACTACAGTGTGTTCGACCCCTACAGGTTTATGCCCGAAAATAAGGACAAACTGGTGCCAAATGCATACTTTCCGTTCAGCTTAGGTAGCCGTCAGTGCATAGCCATGCGGTTCGTGCACCTGGAGCTCAAACTGACTCTCATTAACCTCATACTGAGGTATAAGTTTGTTTCGACGGCTAATACCGACCGTCCCTTAAAACTATTGGACAGTATTTTCCATCACTCACCCAAACGCCTACTGTTAGGCCTAGAAAAACGGGTCGTTTGTAATTAACAGTGCATCTACCTTGCTCATTTAATACAGTATAAAAATATACAGTACAGTAATTTTTACAGAATAAGTAATAAGATTAAAATTAATATATAAAATATTTATGTGTATCAAAAAATATTCTTTCCTTGCTCAAATATCTTAATAATTATATAATATTTGTTAACGTTTAATAAATTGTTTAAAGTTTTGTTGTTTATAATTTTTCTAATAGGTTCAATTTTAGTAGAATTATTATAATTAGATCTTGGATAATAAAAAATTATCCGAAAATATGTTACAAAATAATTACTGCGAATTATATGAAAAATATAAATTATACATATAATACAATAGTAATTTATTCTGGGAATTTATATTAATCGTCAAATTAATGTTAATTTACTATAACGTAACTATTACTTTAATACTAATGCCATAATATAGAAAGGTGTTTCATTTATAAATCATTCATAAAATAAACTCGGGCAGTTTAAACTTAAGTAAAAGTTAAGATTAAAGTTTAGATTAAAGTTTTATTATTAAATTAAAGTAATGTTTAGTTTTATCATTAATATAAGATGTTTTATTGGGTATAATTCATTGGCTATTTTATTACCCTGTGTATTATACACGTTATATAGGTATCAAAAACAAAAAGTTTACCTATTTAGAAGTTTTTGATTTAATTAAAATAATTTATGAATAGATATCTAACCCGTAATTTTGACTACTGGTCCAAACGAGGTATACCGGGTCCTAAGCCTATGATTGGTTTCGGAAATATTTTGCATAAATTCCTTAAACCAATCACTAGTTTGGAGGTCCAATGGATTTACGAATTCGGCAAAATATACGGGTATTTCGGACACAAAGAAATCATTTCAACAAAATTTAACACAATTTTTATCATTAAAAGCATTTTTGAAGGCAATCGACCCATACTAACGGTGGCGGATCCGGAGCTCATCAAAAGCATTTTGGTCACAGATTTTCATGTGTTTAATGATAAGGAGGGAAACCCTGTGTTCAACTCAAAAGCCCACCCAATACTGGTTCGCAATGTGGAGTCCATGTCTGGTGAGGAGTGGCGTCGGGTGCGGACAGTACTGTCGCCCACTTTCTCGGCCTCACGGATGCGTAAAATGTTTGTCCAAATGAGGAAATGCGTGGACAGTATGGTAACAGAGTTGGACACCCGGATCACCACCACATCCCAATCCTATACTGAGGTCAACATCATTGATGTCTTCGACAGATTGTCGGCAGATATCGTCACAACGTGTTTGTATAGCTTTAAACTGAATCCATGGGCCGATACGAGTGCTAATCAGTTTGTGGTGAACGTCAACCACGTGTTGACCCCGAGTCGACTGCGTCTATTGCTGTACATAATGTTACCTGAATATATGCTCAGGGCCCTCTGCATCAAACACCCGGTGCTGGACTCTGCCATTGAATACATCATTTCGATGACCCGTCATATAATTGCTGAGAGAAAGCGAAATACGAGTAATAATTACAACGATTTCATAGACTTAGCCATAAATGCGGACAATAATAATAAAAAGCTGATGAGTCCGGGTAATGTTGACTATCATATAAATGTCAATACAGGAATTGTGAACAAATGATGAAAACCATATAATTTTTGTTATATCATAATAACAGTCTAAATGTATTATACAATTAATACATTATTTCAAACTTTAGGCTCAAATGGTGTTAAGAAAGGCATCAAAAGAGGGGACAGTTATATGTCTGAAGACGAGGCGTTGGCCAACAGTTGGATATTTCTGAACAGTGGGTGCAAAGTGGTGTCAACAGCCCTGGCATTCCTGGCCTATGAGTTAGCCCTACATCCCAATCATCAGCAAAGACTATACGAAGAAGTGAAGGGCTGTGTCGGCACTGGAGATAAGGAAATAGACTTCGAGTCCATATCTCAGATACCTTTCCTCGAGGCCGTCATCAATGAGTCTCAACGCTTGCACACCATTTCCATACGTATGAGACGTACGGCAGTAGCCGACTATATGTTGGGCGACACCGGTATCACCATTCGTAAGGGCGATACGGTTGAGATCCCGGTGCATGGGGTACACCATTATGAGCACTACTACTCCAACTCCAATGTGTTCAACCCCTACAGGTTTATGCCCGAAAATAAGGACAAACTGGTGCCCAACACATACTTCCCGTTCAGTTTAGGTAACCGTCAGTGCATTGCTATGCGATTCGTGTTACTGGAGCTCAAGACTACACTCATTCACCTCATAATGAGGTATAAATTTAGTGACGACTGTCCACACCGACCGTCCCCTACGACTACTGTCCAGTATTTTCCATCACTCACCACAACGCCTACTGTTAGGCCTGGAAAGACGTGTTACAGACAATTAATTTTGAATGTACCGAGGGCTAATTTCCCAGATAAATATTTACCCAGTTATTTTAATATTATCCCATACCAGTTCCCCTCAACTTTTACACTTAAGTAATGTTATAAAAATTGATTTCCAATTCATAAATAACTCGTCAAATAATAGGTGAGAGAAAGCGAAATACGAGTCATAATTAGGAATGAAAAAAGTGGGTATCCATTAAATGAATGCCCTCTCAAATATTATAATTTATTAGTAATTTTTACCAATAATAACTTTTGTCACAAAATTA